GGGGGAAAAAAAAAAAGAATTTCTCCGCCAGTTTTTTTTGAATCTACCTGGCTCACTCTCTTCTCTCTCTCTATATATATTCTAATTCGGTGTATGGGAAAAAAGATATTGTATAGAAAGAGTCTCGAGTGTCGTGTGAATTACAGGTGAATTCTTGAATATTGCATTGATTTTTTGCTTTCTTGGTAACATAATGCATGCGTACACACATATGCTTTTTATCATTTTATATGTATTAATTAACATGTGAAATCTCCACTTTATGTGCCTCCAAAACTAAAGTCTCATCCGAAACTTTGGTAATTAGACGGTAAATGTGTGCTTATTAGTGACTAGTTATTTAATCAGATAAAATTCATTTTGTGTGAATATTTAAATGTAGCGTCTAATTCTTCCTAAAACTTCGAAGCGGCCCCTGCATTTTCAGATAGCCCTCGATTTATGGAAATATATCATAAATTTACGAAATCGTTTTTGGGTAATTTCTTTAAAATTTAAGAGGTCTATTCCGAAAATAAATTAAAAAAATTAATATGCTTTGAGTTTTAATTAGTTTGTGATGGTTAGTACAAGAAAAAATATTCCCAAAAAAAGCATGTTTAAATTTCTTAAATTAGTGATCAATATTTTCAAACACCAAAAGAAAATTACAATATGCATGATGTATGTAACCTCCTTGCTTAATATATATATATTGACCATTTTCTCATGGTTCCTGGAAGGGAGAAAAGAGATTTACGCAACTTGCTTAAACCAGAATATAATCCTGATATGATTAAGAAAAAGCATTAGTCATCTTGCTTAAAATGGAATATCGTCGTCAGATAATTAAGAAAAATATTATTCATCTTGCTTCAATTGGAAATTAATCATGGTGCCTATTACTATTATTGATAAAACAAAAAAAAAAAGTAAATATAAATTTATGCACATGAATGGTAGGATAAAACTATTAAAATTCATTAATCTTATATTGAAAAAAATAATTAAATTGATTAAAGCTCCAAATTTAATTGCTAATTCCGTAATTGGACACCGCACATGTGGCAATTCAGAGGCAAAAATATTAGAACAGTGAAGATAAAAAAGAAATCTTTTGTTGCCCATTTAAATGGATAATTAGTTAATTGTCTAATGAGTGTAGTGAAATGTTCTTCATGATGGCTGTCTAGAGAATAATCCTTTGTTAAATCATTTATTACCTTATTACCCTTCACTAAAAACACACAACTAATCAACTCTTAATACCTGTTTTTGTTATTCTAATTACTGCTAATTACTTAATTTCCTAGTACGCGATTGCACCCTTTGACTCCTGCAGCTTAATTAAATTAACATGGAAACAAAATCTCCTGTATTTAAACTTAATTAAAAATAATTATCCGTCACTACCGTTAATTCTAAATCGGATTTAGAAAATTAAAGAAAAAAGAAGGGGGAAATCTGAATGTGGGGTCCACCTACTCCAGCAGGACCACCACCCAGCTTATAAAAACCCTCTCTTTCTCTCTCTCCTTTCCCCATTTTCACTTCAGTACCAGCTTCACTCCACCTTTCCCAACTTTCTCTCTCTAAAACCTCTGTACAAAAGAAAAAATCTCACATACACACGGAGAACCCTAATTTTTATCTGATCTGATCAATAAAAAAATTAAAGTTCCGAGATCGAGAACCGAAAGCAACAAAAATCCATATTCCTTCCTTTAATTTTGATCTTTCTCCACGTTAAAAGCTTAACAAAGGAACAACAATGGTAGACGTGGACCGAAGGATGACCGGCCTGAACCCCGCGCATGTCGCCGGACTCCGCCGTCTCTCCGCACGCGCCGCCTCGTCCGCCCCCTCCACGCCTCTCCCGCCGCGCAACAGCCTCTTCTCCTTCACTTCACTCGCCGACAAACTAATCACCCACCTGAAGAACTCGGGCATCCCGGTCCAGCCCGGTTTGACCGAGTCGGAGTTCGCCGTAGCTGAAGCAGAGTTTGGATTCGCCTTCCCACCGGACTTGAAAGCCGTCCTGTCAGCCGGTTTGCCTCTGGGAGCCGGCTTCCCCGACTGGCGATCGTCCGGCTCGGCTCGGCTTCACCTCCGCGCCTCCATTGATCTCCCCATAGCTTCGATTTCCTTCCACATAGCTCGAAATACTCTCTGGTCGAAATCATGGGGCCAACGCCCCTCCGACCCGGAGAAGGCCCTTAAAATAGCCCGAAATGCTTTGAAACGGGCCCCGCTTTTGATACCCGTTTTCAACCATTGTTATATCCCGTGTAACCCTTGTCTCGCTGGAAACCCTATTTTCTACGTCGACGAATATCGGATCTTCTGCTGCGGCTTCGATTTGTCCGATTTTTTCGACCGTGAATCCACCCTATTCCGTCAAAGCCCCAACCCGAGTGTTCTCACCAAGCAGCGCTCCGTAAATGAAAAGTCCGTCGGATCGTCGACCAACTTTTCCAGGAGGAGCCTGGACGCAATTTCCGGGGGACGAACTCCGCGGTGGGTGGAGTTCTGGAGCGACGCGGCGGTGGATCGCCGCCGGAGGAACTCGAATTCGTCGGCGTCGTCATCGTCGTCGCCGGACAGGTACATCGAGATGCCGAGAGCCGAGACGCCGAAATGGGTCGACGACTACGTGAACCGAATCGGGTCGGTTTTGAGAGAAGGCGGGTGGGCCGAATCCGACGTGTCGGAGATCGTACAGGTGTCGGCTTCGGGATTCTTCGAAGGCGAGATGGTGATGCTGGACAATCAGTCGGTGATGGATGCTCTGCTGTTGAAAACGGATCGGTTTTCCGATTCGCTCCGGAAAGCCGGGTGGAGCTCCGAAGAGGTGTCGGATGCGCTAGGGTTTGATTTCCGACGGGAGAAGGAAAAGAAACCGGTAAAGAAGCTGTCGCCGGAGTTGGCGGAGAGAATCGGGAAACTGGCTGAGGCGGTGAACCGGTCATCATCGTCGTCCGCGTCGTCATCATAGTTTGAACCGGCAAACATCGAGATTCTTTTCGGCTTTTGTTTTTTTCAGTTTTTCGAAGCCTCGGGTTTGGGTTTTTTGCCTCAATTTGGTACAAACTTTTGATTTAGGGAAAAAGAAGAAAAAAAGAAATTAAATTACTACTATACTTGTTAATGAAATATCAAAGCAGAATATATTAAACATTTGCTAATTCAAATTCAAAATTATATTATTTAATTAGTTGATTTCTCCTTCATTTATGTCCACTTCCGTCTCGAATGAGTCCAAACTTGACCTCCTAATTTTGTCAATGATTTTATTTTAATTTTGACTTACATAAAAAAAACTAATTATATGTGTAAATATTTTTTTTATTTGAATATTTTTTATGAGTTTGTTTAAATTATTAGAAAAATACATATATATATATATATATAAAATAATTGAAAGAAAGGTTTGATATATAATGTGTAACCAAGTAGCGATTAATTAGGAGTAGATTCAATGATATACAGCTATTAAAAGTGTGTATATGAATGGAAACATAATACAGGGGGGGCCTGAGGAGCTGAGCTGGCACAATTACCGAGCCAGGGGGGAGCACACGTGCGTCACTTAGGTGGGTCCCACAGATTGTTTAATTAATTTGAAATGAACCAAAGTGGGTCACAGGGGTGTTGCTTTGGAGCTAAGCGTAGCGACCAACAACGGCGTCGTTTCGCTCTCTGAGTCATTAATACGCGTTCGTTCGTACCGATTATTTTTGGTGGTGGGGGGCACAGCTAAGGCTGTGTTTGGGTGGCATGAATAAAGACGAAAAAAGCAAATAAATATCGGGAAAGGAAACTATTTTTCTTTTTCTTTTTTTTATTTATTTTATTTATTTTTATTGTTTTTTAATTAATTTATGATAAAATGAAAATGAGAAAGGGATGTGTGTTAAGTTAATAGATATTGTTGGTATTTGGAATCTGACAGCCAACTCCAAAGCTAATTTCACGTTTGGCTTTTCAGGAACAAAACAACGAGGTGCTCAGTAGCTCTCTCTTTCTCTGAATATTATTTGAATTTTAAAGCTATTATTGCTTTATTTTTCAACATTTGTCGTTCAATCCAAACATGCCTTTAGTTACACACGGATCTATTTATTTTAATAATAGTTTTAAGTAGGTTTAAGGAATATAAATTAATATTAAGTATGTAGTTAGTTCTGTAGTAGAAGAAACAAGAAATAGAGATTTTGTACAGTTTAATTACTGATAATTCTTTTTTTTTTTTAATAGTGATTTTTCAAGACATGAACGTTTTAACTCGAAGGTAAAATTGCAGACTTTTGTGTCGGAAATAATTCCATTGCTTGAGAAATAATCCTCTACATGCGATAGGTTCCTTTTAAGTTATAATCATTTCTTCAAACGCATTTTGAATCTATGATTAATTTTTCCTAAGTATCATGATAATCATGCATCGATTAATTTTTTTTTTTTCCTTAATTGTTCTGCTTTCGTGCAAATTCGTCTCAAGTTTTAATTGATTGATTTTTATTTATGATTCTCTTGAAGTTGGGTTCAAAACTACTAACTTACAAAAAAAGTAGCCGTTGATTCGGTGATAATAGAAAGAAAAATATCAAATTAAGCATATATATATATATATATATTTTTTTTCAAATAAAAAGTCCAAGGACGAATTATTGAATAAGAAAAAAAAGAGAAAGTACAAATACATATTAATTGAAATAATGTTCAAATGGATTTGACCCCAAAAATGATTTAAATGCTGAAACGGTCAATTTACCCACCAACTGAACTGACCGTTGGGCGCGTCCACTGCGGCTGCTTTTCTCTTCATATTTTATATTCCACCGCCATTCTCTCTCCTATCCTACTCACGTGCCACCTTCTCTCCTTATTTTATTTATTTATTTAATAATTATAAAATAAAATTACAAAATTAAAATTAAAATAGCAAGAAGAAAATTCAGTTAGAAACGTGACGTGGGTGATGGGTATTGGGTGGTTGGATCCGTGATGGACTTAATACAACGTTATGGGCCTATAACAAGTTGTGTGAAAGCCTGTTTAAATTTCATTTCCTTTTTTTTTTCTTAATTCAATTTCAAATTGGTCCCTCTTCTTTTAATTGATTTCACTTTCGCCCCTCTACTTTATTTTGGTAATAAATTTTGGATTCAAACTATAATTAAATTTATTTATTTTTTGTGAGAAAAAAGTATAAGTTAATTGAAATTGTCAATTTTTCAAAGGGAAAAAATTGGATGGCGACGATACCTTGACATTTATGTGTAGATTATTGCAAACTGTTTTAATGTTGTCAAATAGTCCAACACGTTTTTAATTTGTAGGGTCCATTACACCCAAGTCAATCATACGTTTCTCTGATCATTTTGTGACCAAGTAATTTGGTCGAGGATTTGAAAATTTGTTACTTGCCCTTTTCAATAATTGGATGGAAGAAAGGAAAATCTGTGTATGGGTACTACTGTAAGTTTATTAGATCCGAATAAAAAAATTGGGACAAATTTATGAGCTCGAGTTCGAGCTTTTATTGAGTCGACTCATCAAACTCTTTATATTATTATTATTATAAAATTATATTATATATTTCGAAAAACCATAAAATATTTGGAATTAAAATTTAATCGAAAATTGAAATTTCTGGTAATTTTATATACCATTCCGATTCCGTTCCAAATAAATTTGGAAAAATTGAAAATCGGAACTTCGGACAATTCCGAGTTCCACCCCTACTCTTATTCCTTAAAGCCCAAGCAAAATCACTGGGCCTTTGCACCAATAAATGGGCCGAGCATAAACATATATTGCCCAATATTTATACACCATCACTAAGGATGGAGTAATCGATTTGAATCGAAATCAGAGTGAAAAACTTATTTCAATTTTGTTCCAATTTCGGAAATATCAGAAATCAAAATTTCAGAAAGTGAAATAATTATTTTTGCTTTAAATAAAAAAAAAAATCGGATTTGAATCGGGTTTCATTTCCTTTTCACCTATAAAAGAATACATAGTAATATTCATTTTATAAAAAGTGATTTTTTGAAAAAATAATTGAAATTTCGGAAGTTGGAGTGAAAATAATTTTCCATAATCAGCAATTTCCGGATCAAAATCAACAGAAATCGAAAATTTCATTTTAATTTTTATCTATATTCTCAAATTTAATTGTACTGAAACAATACAGTGATGATCACAATTTAGACAGTAAAATCACTAAAAAACAAACATTATTGTATTTTTACATGATCACATCTATATACATGTATTATCTAAATCTGACCATTAAATCTGAAAAATAACTAATTAAAAGTTTCATTGTATAATAAAATCTGCAGAGTTTATTATCCCTACGCTTATAAATTTTCACCAACAATTGCTGTACATATTTCAAGTATCTACACTGCCTGCAAAACTTCTTTCTCGCCCTCCTTGTTCGTTGCCTTCGGTGCCAACTTCATAGCCTTCACGCGGAACGCCGCCTGCACAAGTTAAAAGACAAAAATACCCCCATTGACTTCTATGGACTAGTCAAAGCACCAAGAAAATAACGAAAGCAAAAAAAAAAAAATATCTAACCTTTTTATCCGATCCGAACTCGATCACATCGGTGGGGCGGAAACGTGTAGGGAAATTCGGAGAAACACGGAATCGCTTGTCTTCATTGCTGCAAAAGTATTATTCTCTTCACTTACTATAGTGTCTAATTAAATAAAAAATAATACTTATAATTTAAAAAAAAAATCGATAACTTACTCTGCAATCCATGTCCCGTGCTCACTCCTCAAATCGGTCACGTAAAAGAATCCATCTTTGTAGGTTATTTTAGCATGCATCTCCGAAACCTAAAGACACAATAAACATTTTCTCCGTAAGTAAATAAATAAATAATGTAATAAACGAGAATTCGAGCAAGAACGAAACTAATTACGCCGTCCCACCTGAGGCGAAGGTATAGCTATCGACACTCCAGGAACGTTTGGATGTGATACACTCCTAATATAAGATAAGAAAAAAAAAAAAGCTGTGCCTCAAGTAAAAATCGAATAATTTATTTTCTTGAAAATGCAAAATTGTATCTTAAAAACATACCCAATTACGTATGGATTGTTCTCGTCTCGGCTTAGGAATATGGTTTCGGAAGCTGCGGTCGAATCTCCAATCGGAAATAAAAACCAACTGCATACGAAAAAAAAGGTATATATATTTGTTATTAGATGCCAAACAAACATGGCATAAGCATTCTTGAAAAATTAAAGGAATTGTACTGTACTCACTCAGCATCAAGGGCTCGTTCGAGAGCTTCGTCGTCACTAAACCATGTTCGCAACTGATCACTGGCCTTCATATATTAAGAAAATAAAAAGTTACGAAATAAAAGTCGCACCTAACGTAAAATAGCAATTATATTTCACTTTATTAATTAGTTATTCGAGTGGCTTACTTTGTCGGAAAGTCTGCACTGCAGTGCTCTCCCTTCAAGTTTCGAACTGCAAAAAACGATTAAACAAAAATAAATTTAAAATTAAAATAATCTCGTAACCATTGAAATTCGGAAAAAATAAATTGTATAAATAACATGAAATCTTACCCGTTACCGCCGAGAACCCAACTAAGCATCAACGGCATACCGATGTCGATAAATACTCTTCCTCCAACTCTTCCGGGGTGTGGTATTCTGAACTTTGTAAGGAACTATAAAAATAAATATAAAGTTAGAAATTTCAATTAATTAATAATTCTTTTCATTTCATGAATTATGGAAATTAATTAATTGTCGTCTGAAATTATTTTATTACCGACAATGGTCCGAGCCCTACACCGAGGTATGCCTTATAAGTCGATGCCATAATTGCAGCCATTCTAGCTAGTCCGTGAATAACCGCAACACGTAATTTTCGAGCATTCTCATATCTGAAAAAAAGGATTTTTTTTTATAATTAGGCAGTCGAAATAAATCAGCAATATAATATAGCTAATCGTCGTACATTTGATCTGTAGTATGTAATAATAAGTTTACGACACTAGAAAAAGAAAATTATTATTACCTCTTTAAAGAAGAGACTACATCGATTTGTGTTCCTGTCTCGACGCTTTGCGCCCACGCTTTATCGAGCTCCATTGCTAGTTGATATCCATCCTGCAACCATTATTTCATTAACGTAAAACAGCTTCGCGAACTAAAAAAGAAAATTATCAAATGGGAAATTTCTTGGAAATTTACGGAAAAAAAAAAACGAGTCGAAAAATAATGCATTAATAATACCTCAATGGCCATGCAACCACCTTGACCTAAATTAGGCTGCATAGCATGGACAGAATCACCGAGCAAAGTCACGCGACCCTTTCCCCAAGAAAAAGTCGGGGTGCGATCGTATATATCACGTCGAAGAATTGCATCTTCATCCGTAGCAAGTAATAGATCTATTACATTGTCACACCAACCATCGAATAACTTGAGTAATCTCGTCTTTTTACCTGCAAAAAACCAAGAAAATATGAAAAAAGGTGATATCTTCAATATAATATTTCAGAAGCAAAAATAATAATAAATAAATAAATAAATAAAATGTCGAGATTATTTATTTACCTTTGGGATCATCTACACCGCCGGGTTTTTCATTATAGAAGGCGTACCACTGCATCTTTCCACCACCGACATCTGATGAGACAAAGTATTGTTTGTGTCCTAGGAATACTCGGTACCTTTTTAAAATAATCGGTATTTTCGTAATATCAAGCCTCGTTATCTCGAAAAAAAATAAAAAATGCGATGCAAATTTAAAATTGCGAATTGCAAAATTAGAATATAAAATCTTACCCAACTGTCTCGATGTCGGCGGGGACGAAATCTGCAATACCGGTGTAACAAGTGTAGCCGGAGTATATCGGGTCTGTTAGCCCGAACAAATTTTTCCTCACCTACGTTAAATCAAAATCATCGTCAATTGCGTTACCCAAAAAAAAAAGAAAAAAAAGGGACGAAGTAATGAAGTACCTTGGAGTAAATCCCGTCAGCACCGATGAGAAGATCGCCTTCGTAACTCTGTCCACTTCCAAGAGTTACAGTCACCTAAATTTACGGAATAAAAAAATGAAAACAAAGAAAACGAAAGACGATGACGGAAAAAAAGCCAACAGAGAAAACACGTAATTTTAAGACAACCTTTTCACCGTCATCATTAAAATCAACAACATTGCTATCATTAATAATAATGTCGGAACCGACTGCACGAGCTAGGATTTGTTGTAAAGTCATTCGGCTAATGACTCTAGTAACTGGAAGTCCTCGTTCTGCTGCAGGGGTGAAAGTATCGAACTTCACGTACCTGTGGTAAATCAAATCTCGTCATAATTTTTTATTTTTTTTCAAGAAATTAAAAATACATAGAATAGCCAAACGGGACGTGTGAGTGTGCGTGCCTTCCAAAATGGATCAAAAATTTTATCCACCAAATATTTTATCTAAAAAAAACGAGCTCAAGATATCCCGATAATTGGGAATTCGACAGGTATTCGTACTACAACTGCACCGAAAAGCAAAAGTCTTTGAATTATTCATTTTATTTTTATTTTTATTTTTATTTTCATTTTCACATCACAAGCAACTCCAGTAGAACTGAATATAAAGTTTACACTACAGACTGACAGAATCGGGTGGAAATCGGACGGATCGGATTAGAATTAGCACTTTCGGAAGATTTCCGGGTTTTTTTTTTCCGAATTGAAAAACTAATTTCAATTCCTTTCGATAACAAAATTGTGAAAAATTCAGAAACCGGAATTTCGAGAACTGTTTGAAATTCGAAAATTTTCGACTCGTAATCGACGAAATTCAGAAAATTCCAATTTCTTGGTCACCTAATTAAAATACCGGTATTTTCGAATTATTTTCGTAAAAATAAAAGTTCCGATCGGAAATTATAATCTCATATATATTCCAAAATTACGAACCACAAAAAATAATCGAGAAAATCGTAATTTTAGAAATTCAGAATGAAAAATATTAAAACAAAGGAAATAATCAAATAAAATGAAATAAGTGGGACAATATAATTTCTCAACAAAAAAAAAAAAAGAAAAAAAAAATACCAATTGCCGGAAATGCCATCAACCAAGCCATTAATCCGATCACCGGTGATACAACCGGAGCTCAAAACCTCATCAGCAACATCCATATCAATGGCTTCCAAAGCAGCCAATGCGTTGCTCTGTATCTGAATCGGCCCCCTGTATTGCCCCTCCCCTCTAATTGCACTCAAATCCTTCTCAAACACCACCACGTCAAACCCTCTCCTCTTCGCCGCCAAAGCGAAAACCAGCCCCCCAATTCCGCCGCCGGCCACCAAAACCCTCATCTTCTTATTTTCCTTAGACGGCGGCTCGGCTCTTGCCGGCTCGGCCACGCCGGCGGCCGCCTTGGCTCTGGTTGTAAATTTCTTGGAGAACCCATTTTCTGGATTCCTCGAGAGGGGTTTCTGGTTCGGCGATAACCGGCATAATTCCGCCGGAAAATCCTTGGGAATTAGAAAGGGGGTTCTTGAATACAGCGCTGTTGATGGGTTGATTGGGTTGTAGAGCAGAGTTGAACTCATGCCTCTGTCTTTGATTTAACAAACAGAGGAGATGATTGATGATTATCAACAACTGGGTTTTTCTTTTTTTTTTTTTTTTTGAAATTCTCAGTTGCAATTAAGCTGGAAGGTGAATTTGTGAGTGTGTGGGTGTGTGAGAGAGAAAGTGAGAGTGACGGTTAAGGGAGGTGGGAAGAAGAAGGATTGTAAATATGATGAAGGAGCCAATCCGAAGATGTGAAGGAGCAGCAATGGTGGAGATTTCATTGACACGTGTCACGTCCATGTTGTCTGGTTTGGTTTTGGTTTGCTGAGCTTTCGAATATCTACAATACATTGTTTGTGTATGGTCGACTTCTTTTGGGAAATATTATTAATGCTGCTTTATTATATTTGATTCGACCCATTTAATTTTATTCGGTGGGAGTACTACTTACTGTACAATCAGGTTCCTCACACAAGCCCGCATGTGTCTAGTTCAATGGGTTCCGGAGGTGGTAAGTTGGTGCAAGGTCCTAGGATCGAATCCTGGCAGCCGCAGTGTGGGAATTTCAACTCCAATGAGATTGGTTCTTTGTGGGCACCAGGTCCGAGTCCTCTACTTTAACGGGCCGTTGAGTTACCATGATTTACATTCCTTCATCAATCCTTGCCGGGCCAAGGGATGGGGGCCCTAGGCCTTTTGGTGCAAGGTTCCTCACACAAAGCTTCAAGTTTGGTCACTTGCCTTAATTAATCCAATATTTTTTATATTAGTTTTCTTACTAAATAAATTATAAATTAGGGTAAATTACGGTGACCCTCCTGAGTTAAGGTTGAATAACGAATAACTCATCATGTTTGGGTAATTACAATCTCCTCATCAATTATGATTTTTTCTTACACGTCCACCCTTGTGGTGTCAAATTTAATGGACTCTTCTAGATTATGCGGAATATTTTCCAGTTTGTACTTATTTTATCCCATTCGAGCTCCACCTTTTGAAACAAGATGATTGTAAGATGTGTCTCTTGGCTTGTAATATCATATTGTGGTGCATCAGAAACTACATTTTTGTTCAGAATGAGTACAATCTAGAGAATGCCCCGAATAATCTAATTGAATTTGACATAATAAGAAGATTTATAGTTGAGGGGTCCGGACGAGATATTTTTATTATTATTATTTTATCTTAATCATAATCACACAAGCTAGTGGCTGAGTGTGTATGTAGAAGTAGAACCATTGGATGATTTTGTTGGAATTTAGACACTATAGCTTCATAAGTCAAATTCTGATATTTACTTGCTATTTAGTTTTTTTTTTTTTTTTTAAATAATAAATATATTTGTGTTGGAGTTTTCAGGTTATTATAATTCTGATCGTGTCCAAATTTGTACCAGAAAAAATATAGAAACAAATATATAAAACTAAATAGTATTCTAGTAAAACATTATTACATTTTGACTTATGAAGCTACAATCCAAAATCCCAACCGAATCATCTAACGCTTCTAATTCTACATGCAAATTGGGCCACTGGCTTATGAGAAAATCTCTTTCTTTTTTGTTAATTAAGTCGTCATAATAATAATAATAATAATAATAATAATAATAATAATAATAATAATAATAATAATAATAATAATAATAATAATAATAATAATAATAATAATAATAATAATAATAATCTTATATATAAAAGAAAGAAACGCTAGGGCAACCCTAAGAAACCCTAATGTCATATTTGTAATTTTTTTTCAATTTTTATCAATTTTTTATCTCCTTAATATTATTTTAAATATTATTTTTGAATTTTATCATATTTGTATCCCCTAAATATTATTTTAAATATTATTTTTTTATCAGATTTTTGTCTCCTAAATATTATTTTTTATTTTTATCAAATTTTTATCTCCTAAATATTATTATAAATAATATTTTTTTAATTTTATCAAATTTATATCTCCTAAGTCCTAACTATAATTTTAAATATAATTTTCAAGTTTTAGCAGATTTTTATCTCCTGAATATTATTTTCGAATTTTATCAAATTTATATCTCCTAAATAATATTTTAAATATTTTTTTCGAGTTTTATCATGTTTTTATTAGTTTTTTATCTCCTAAATATTATTTTCGTTTTTTATCAGATTATTGTCTCCTAAATATTATTTTCGAATTTTATCAAATTTATATCTCCTAAATAATATTTTAAATATTTTTTTCGAGTTTTATCATGTTTTTATTAGTTTTTTATCTCCTAAATATTATTTTCGTTTTTTATCAGATTATTGTCTCCCAAATATTATTTTCGAATTTTATCGAATTTATATCTCCTAAATAATATTTTAAATATTGTTTTCGAGTTTTATCATGTTTTTATTAGTTTTTTATCTCCTAAATATTATTTTCGTTTTTTATCAGATTATTGTCTCCTAAATATTATTTTCAATTTTTATCAAATTTTTATCTCCTAAATATTATTTTAAATAATAATTTTGATTTTAATCATATTTTATCTCCTAAATATTATTCTAATTATTATTTTCATATTTTATCAACTTTTATCTCATTAACATTATTTGAAATATTATTTTCGATTTTTTATCAATTTTTTATCTCCTAACTATTATTTTAAATTTTATTTTTGATTTTTATCTCCTAAATATTATTTTTTGATTTTTTTATCAAATTTTTATCTCCGAAATATTATTTTAAATATTATTATCGATTTTCATCAAATTCTCCTAGATATTATTTATAATAATCTGATTTTCGATTTTTACAGAAAAGGGTAAATAAATCTGATTTTCATCCCTAGCGGATTTTGTGACATCGTTTTACAGAATGTCTGCAACATTTGAATTTTATTTCTTCCCTACCTAAGGCTTCTTCTTTTGGTAACCCGACTTTAGATTTTGTTTCTTATCTTCTTCTTCATCCTATTGCATGTGTGGCAATTAGTTTACATCTTTTTCCATCATGGCTTATAGGTAATTTCATTTTGTTAAATTATGTGTTTCATTAATTTATACCAAAGTTTTCAAATTTTATGTATAACAATTATTTCATTTTATATGTTATTGGACATGTTATTGAAAGGGATGATTTGAGAAAATTAACCAAAAATGGGCGGAGCCACAAGCTATTGGAAGTCGACCTTCAAGACTTATTGTTTGTATGCGATATTTAATTTATTGTTTATATTTATTTTTGTTTCTTAATTTTCCAATTGTTAATTCCAGTGGCAAAACAACCTTAAAATGAGGCAGTGGAGAAGGGCTTAGTTCCGATGCAAGATGTATAGATGGCCTTTTACGATGGTATGTTGTCGATAGTTTAGTTTTGATTATGTTAACTTAGTTATTAAATCTAATTACTTGTAAGCTCAACATGGAAGACATAATTGATGATTTTTTTCCTGGTTCAAATTTTCAATCTACTGGTATTAGCTGATTCAATTCATTTGGAAAATTATTAACAGTAAAGTTATGTCCTTT